TCTAGAAAGGCCGGCCACCATGGAAGTTGTAGCTAGCCATCTATTCTTCCATGGTCACTCATTTATCATCCATGCTCTCCTTGGTGTAGATCCATCCAAATCCATGGATCTAAGATGCAAGGAATGAAGGCCCTATCTCTTGGGTGATTAGCCTTTGTTTAAATACAAAGAGGAATCTACAAAGGTATATAAATCTCAACTCACTTTGTTTTGAGTTGATTAATGGTTCACCAATCTACTAGGCTTTGAATTTCATGGTTAATGTTTTGTTTTTAAGTGCATGCTAGCATGATTCCGCCTTTAATTGTTAATTGCATGCTTATTGATGTTGCTTAAATGAACTTGTTTTCATAAAATAATTCCTTCACATCTAGTCTAATTCTGTGTTTGTTAGTATTAGGGATTAGCATTAGTGGGACTAGGAGGGACTCGTGTTCACTAAAGCCTTCGCTAAAGGGTCTTAGCGAGACCCTCCAAAAACAGTCGAACTGTTAAGACCAGCTTCGTTCGCTCCTCTAATCCTCTGCGTGCTTCGTCAATCTCGCCCTTTCTGCTTTCAGACCCATGGATCTCATCCTTCGCACATCAACAGCAATAGCGGTCTCGCACTGCAAATGCAAGACGACAATCTCGCACTACAAAATCAGGACAACGTTCTCAACCACATGCTCCAACTGTAGACCAAACATCTCAACCTTTCGAAGAATTTACAAACATGAAAAAATGAAAAGAGAAATTGACAAAGCAAATCAAATCAAAGGCAGATATAGGCTTTCCTAAAACTCATATATGTTGCAAATCAAAGCAAATGATTGAATAAAAGAAACATCTCAACATTTCAACAGTGACAATTGAAGGAACAAAGCCAAGTAGTAACAACTTGATCAGAGGAGAAATAACCCATCAGCTTGTTTCTAGGGAATGTGAAATTTTGCAGAAAAATTTTGCGGAAAATAGTTTTGAAGGATCTAAAATTTTGCAAAAAAAGGATGGAGAAATGAAGAGAATATGACGGGGTCAAAGAGGGAGAAAAGCAAAGAAGTTTCTAGGGAGTGGGAGAGTTCTTAAGAAAATGAATAATGTTGCATAATAATAAAATATTAATAAGTATGTATTAAAATATTAATATATATATGTTTTAAATAATGTAATATTAAAGTTTGTTATTATTTTGATTTTTAATCCGACACTGCACCAAACGCTTCACTAAGTTAGTCCAGCTTAGTCTAGTCTAAGCTAGTCCAACTTAGTCCCTGAAGCTAGTCCAGTCCGAGAGAGTCCGGTGCAACAAACGCACCCATATTGAACTAGACTAGACTAACTCCTAGTATAGTCCAGTGTTTGTTATCATGCGGACTAACATTAATGATATTAGCCGGGACTCGTAGGGACTCATAGACTCGCTAGAGGTTCTTAGCGATAGTCTCTGAACATAATGGGACGAGGTAAGACCTGCTTCATTCATCTGCCATGCTCATCTACTTATTCTCTTTGCCACTTGCCACACATCCATTGGAAGAGCTTGGACTTTCACAGCCTTTGTCGTTGAATCGTTGACCTAACGTGCCAACTGCCCTAATAGGTCTCAAATTGCTCGGTTCCAGCTCTAAGAAGAGCCTGGGTCAGCTGGATCTAGGGCCTGGAAAGATGAAAGTGGTTTGATTTTTGATACCTGATCTGCCAAATCCAGATGATAAAACCCAAATGACAAAAAAGCAAAAAAAAATTACTAAATCGCTCACAACTTTAGGTCTTGCTTGGAAGTGCAGGAGAATCAGAGCAAGCTTTTCTCCCTTTTTGTGATTTGAGATCAAGAAGGCAAAGAGAGAAAGGGGAAAATAGGGAGAGGGACGTAAGCTAGTCCAGGAAGAAAATGAAGAGATGGACGGAGAAAAGTAGGAAGCAAAGGTTTTTCCTATTCTACAATTTGAGATCGAGATGGCAAAGAGAGATGGGAGAAAAAGAGGGAGATGGACGGAAGTTAGCCCAGGAAAAAAAGAGGGAGATGGACGGAGAAAAATAGGAAGAAGAGGTCTATAGAATTTTTTTTTTAAAGACAGAAGTATTAATAAAACATTAATAAATATGAATTAAATAATATACTATTAAATTTTTTTATTATTCTTTTTTTAATCCGATATTGCACCAAATGTTTCACTAAATCAATCCAGCTTAGTCCCCGATGCTAGTCTAGTTCGAAATAGTCCGGTGTAACAAACGCACCCTAGAGCTTTTGGACTTTAGTCAAAGTCATCGTTGGGATATGATAATTATAAAAAAAACTACAATGTTAATAATAATAATGCTTTCACCTCTGCATTATATTAAAGGTGGTGTTATTCACACATCTCTTTTTACCTTCTACATATTCTCTATTAATTTCTGTTATTTGATCATCTTCATTTCATTTGACCTGACGACCGAAAATTAAGAAGGTTGTGTGGAAGTTAAAAAGGGTGCGTGGATAGCATCACCTATATTAATTTTTGCAAACTAGCGCATCATTGTTCAATAATCATTTAAATACTATTCTAGGTATCAAGGAGTACTATGATTCAATGGTAATATTTTTTTTTATTTGTTTGTGAGACATCTCAAGTTTGACTTATATGAAAGACTATGACGTATAAAATTTGTGTGGAATTCGATACCTGGTTATAACCAGCAAATTATGTTATAACTAGCAAATTATGTGACCTACCTAGAGTAGAATATCATTGCATAAAAGTACGGAAAGGGATCCTCTCCAGATCCCTTCATCCTAATCCACCAAACTAGTGGATCCGTGCTATTGAAATTTGATCCAACAACTACAAATAGGGGCCCATTTTAAAAATTGTAATAACTTTAGCCGTTAGATCAAATTTCAAAAGCACGGATCCACTGATAAGAGCATATTTATGCGACTTAGTTAGCTTGTTTTCTTGCATTTTCATAGTTTGTTTGTGTTTATTATAGTGTTTTAAGCTATTTTCGTGTGTTTGTAGGTCCATATGATAAAGTTGGTAAGAAAGTGCAATTTGGAGCATTTTGAGGCAGTTTTGGGGACCAAATGGATAGCTTATGAATGGAGCAGGATGGATCGATGAATTTGAAGTTCAAGAGGCTAGGAATGTGCTGAAAAGAGTGAAGAAATAAATCCAAGTCAAGAAAGATAAGAAATCAGCTCAAAAGAATGAACATTATCCAAAACCTTATCCAACCTTATCTTATCTTATCCTTGCCTAACCTAACCTTATCTTATCCTATCTTATCCAAATCAATTTGTGACTTAATTCCAGCTATATCTAAGGGATAATTATGCATTTAAACTATATATTTCTGATTCTAGAACCTTTATCCTTCTAGAACCCCTAAATTGGTGCTAAAACATCTTTTCTAGAAGCACCTAAAAATCTGGCGCCTAGACCCTTTCTAGAAGCCCTAGAACCTGCAATCCTTTTCCTTTAGGATTGTGCAATCCTTTTCCCTTCAGATTTTGGTGAACCCTAGTCCTTTTCCTTCATGAATTGTGTCAAATACACATTCCTTTCCTTTAGAAATTCGTGGGTTTCCCTAGCCCTATAAATACAAACCTTTGTGCAGCAATTAAACCACCACCCTCTACCATAAATCACCTACATCCATCCACCACACCATCCACCACAATCCTTTTGTGTCGCAGCTAAGGAAGGAGAAGAAAGAGCCATCTGGAGTGTTTCTAGGTGTATTCAATCTTTGTTTTCAATGTTTAATTCAAGTTATCTTTGTTTAATTGCGAACATGAGAAACCAATTTCTTTATAGTTAGAGGAGAATTCGAAACCATGATTATACTTGCAATATGAATTGATTACCTTCAATTGCGATTTGATAAATTGTGAATGCAATTCGCTTAACTGTTTTATTCAAAACTTATTCTTGTATGGTTATTAAGGTGGCCAACTTAGTTTGCATGCATGAATTTGATGCTAGAATATAAGGGATTTTCACCTAATCATTATGAACTTATATTCACAAGTAGTGAAGGTTGCTTGTCACAATCGCGTTAAGTAAATTATTGGCATAAGTTTCATGCGCTTTCATAGTTACTAGTGCCTCGTCGATACTTATGATTTTCATTGAACGTAATGATCTTTGATTATATCTCTATTATGCGCTTTCATGTAGGGAACTTTTGAGGAATAATTTGATTGCGATGCGCTTTTTCCATCCAATTCATTGACATAAGGGAAATCTGAAAGTTAATTTAAGCGTATCTAATTAACTTGGGGTGTTGAGATTCATGGTTTATTGAAAAGCAATTGGAGATTGATTTGTATGCAAGTGTGTCATGTGTGGAGAAGAACCTTCTAGTTAGACCATTACCCATCCAATTTCCCAATTTCGTCCAAAATCTGTTTTAGTCTTTAATTTGTTTGTTTTACTTTATTTTCCTCCAAAACCCAATCCCCCTTTACTTTGAAGTGTTAGATTAGTTAAAATTTGTTTTAGTTTGTGTTTTAAGTGTCTTGAGTCAAGTTTAAACCAATTTTCGTCCAAATAACTCCCTAGAGTCAGTTTTGAGTCTATTTGGTTGTTTTGTGCTGTTTTGAGTCTTTTAAGTTTGTTTTGAGTCTTGTGAGTCTTGTTAAGTGTTTTTAAGTTTATCTTTGTGTTTTTAAGTCAGTTTCAATTAGATTAGCAGTCTCTCCTAATCCCCGGTCCAGAACGATCCCTACTTATACATATACTACAATTGTCAAAAGAGGGTTTAATTTGTGTGCTTAACTTTTATCACATCATCCACTGATTTGGTGGATTAGGAGGTAGGGATCCAGAGAGAATCCCTTTCCTAAAAGTACCACTATACGTAGTCAATAATGGTTTTAATTCCAGTTAACACAAGCACGAATACCCGCGCTTTGCTGCGGGTTTTAAGAACACCGTTCAAGACAATACTACTAATATATAAATAAGTTTTGAATAAATCAATATTTACATGTCTGGTGTTTGAGAAGATAAATGAGCAACACATTACAGTGATCAAAAGATTAAATGTTGATTATTAGAAATAGTTCAATAGACTATGAACATGTTACAGAATCTTGATTTTCCTACTTCGCTGTTTCCGGCTCATCTTCATCTTCATTATGTGGAGGTTTTCGGTTTCAGCTAGTTCCTACAAACTTTGAAAAAAAAAAAAAAACCAAATGAACGTGGCATGGCAGAAAAATTGAGGTGGAAAATAAATTTAAAAAAAAAGTAATTAGAAAAAACAGAGAGCAAATGATGCTATCCAATGTACTTAATTTATCTTAAGTATAAAGACAGTTGTATATACTTCTTGACCAAATGAGATAACATCAAATTTGAATAAACTAATAGAGGCATTAATCATAACTTAGGTATTCATAGTTATCATTCTAAAGTTGATGACATACTGTAAAGTAACAGTTTATTTCCATTGGATAATTTGATTTCCCAAATTCAAAAAAAAAAAAAAAAAAAAAAAAAATACTAAACATTATTACACATCATCACAACATCCCGTCTGTCAAGAATCAAATCCAAAAGTAGAATTGGGTAAACAAATGAGATATTAGGAACATAGAATATATTGAGAATATATTGAGCGAACTTAATTCAAAATCTCCAATTTACCTGAAACATAGAATCACAAACCTCAAAGTATTCATTGCTGAACTCTTCTTTTTTCAGCAATTCTTTCAAAGTGACGCCAAATCCTCAGATATGAATCCAGTTCTTCTCTTCGTCTTTCTCTAATTGAAATTGAGTTATTTGGTGAAGTGGTGTTAAAGTTTACGTAAGTGTCAAAAATGAACTTCTTTGCAAGAGAATACAATAATTTATGATAAAAATCTTTAAGTCCCAATCAGCTCTTAAAAATCTAAATACGTATTTCAAACAGACCATGTCCATTCAGCTCTTAAAAATTGGAAGAAAAGATTTAGGTTTCTTTCTTACCCAAATCCACCAATTTGAATCAAATCTCTGCAGCCCTTCCAACCAAACGCAAATTAATACAACTCTACAATCAATAAACAAAAGCAAGTTAATACAACACTGCAATCAATAAACAAAACCCAAACTTTTAAGAATTAAAATCATCAAAAATTCAACAAAGAAAGAGAATCCAGAAACCAAACCTATCAATCAATTCCTAAAATCAACAGTAAAGAAAAAATTTCAATAAATAAGCATCTAACTCCACAAATAAACAAAACCCATATCAAATAATTCAAAAAAATTAATAGAATTACCTTCCAGGAGATGGAGACTCCGAGTAGGCTTCCAATAATGATTTGACCGATAAGAAAATAGTTGTAGGTCATGGGATATCACTTTGGGATTTTCATGGTTTACCTTTTCTTTCAAAATGGGTTAATACTTGATCATCCAATCCTCCAACCTTCTGTTTCTCAATCTTCTGCAAGAGGATTGAAATCAGAACCATTAAGTTTTAGAAAAAACAAAATCAAGGAAAAAAATGGTGTCTCCTACTTCAAACGATGAAAATGCAAATATTTGATACCAATTATCCTTGGGACGTAAAAGAAGGCAAGTGTGGACTGCTTACTCAAACTCAATTGAAGTTGAACAGGTCAGAGACAGAAACAGAAGCCAAGGAGGAGATATAAAGGTCAAAGCCGAATTTGTGGATCGGGCGAGTTCGAGAGCCACAAACAAAAACCTAAAAAAAAAAAAAAACCGCGGGTGAGCCAAGTTCGAGAGCGATAGATTCAGATTTTTTTTGTTTTGAATATATATACAACTAATTTACCATTCAATCATATTAGTGGAAAACAATTAAACCGTAAAATTAAACCCTCCTGCTTCCTCAAAAATCTAAATTAATCACAATAGTCAAATTCCAAACAGAAGAATAACAATAATAATTTGATAATTGTTTGGTGAGATTATACAGAGAAAATCTTGCCTCGAAACCTGGTGGAGCTTCAAGCTGCTTCTACGACGATGTCGTTTTTGCCAAGAACAGGTTCCTGAAGCGAAATAGGGCTGAAAACGAAGATTGTAGCAAGAGCTACAATGCGATAAGGGGACTAAATTCTGGAAGCAAATGAAAGAGCCCTGCTTTTCCAACCTCCTTCCCTACTTTCACAGCTTTTTCCATCCCTGGATCCCTAGAAAATCACCAGATTATAAATTTCTTTGGCAAAATCTAAAGCAGGATAAATTGCTTACTTTCCGTAAAGAGGGTTATGGAAAATGCGTGAATCGCTAAATCATGAAATCATCCAAAAACCCTATATCATAGAAAATTGAAAATTGCAGGTAAGCAAAAGCTCAAGAATTTTACACAGAAGAACTAACTTTCAAATAATTAAATATATAATTACGGGAGAAACGATACCTGTGTATGGAGGTGCTTCAATGGAGGGGAGAGAGAGTGTGTGTGTGTGGAAGAGAGAGAAGCTCCGAAATCGGGAGGAAGAAGCCGCGAGTAGGTTTTTGGTTTTTAGTTACTTCGGCGAAGGAAGAGGTGGAAGATAAGTCGAGCTGGGTTCGTCTGCGAGAGAAAGATTTGACGGAAGTGAGTCGGTGAGAGCAGTGCGAGAAAGAAGCAAGTCGAAACATCGAGAAGGAAGAACCACGCGTCACCATTTTGTTCCCACAGCGTAGCAAACCGGCAAAGGTGGAATAACAAAAAAGAAGCAGAGGCAAAAACGGAATCACACTGTACTATGAACAATGTTTCAGTTCATTTTCTCTTTTAGTATATATATAATTTGGATTTGTGAAACTTCACTTGAATACTTTACATCTCCCTAGCTAAACCACGATAGATATGATATATAATATATGCTTATGTTAGGCTAGCTATATACTGTTATTGTCAACAATTTTTATAGAAGTTTGTAAGATAATGTTTTGAGCAATTACATATCTATGACCCTTGACACAAATAGACGCGTTATATGTTCCATATAGATTATTATTAAGACAACTTCTTTCAAATTCTATATATCGTTTGACAGTGTTCCACAAACACCATGTTAACTATAGCACAGATAGCTAAACCAAGTTACGTAGTTAGGATTGGTGTAAATCAAGTCCTCAACTCTCGAAGAAGAGTTTGAGGACTGCCTGAGGAGCTTAACTAAGCTTTCTTTTTTTTTCTTTTTTTTGTCTTTCTCTAGCTTAGGGAGCTAGGGTTTAGGACTAGTTTGTTTGAATGGAACTTATTTACGCATGGAGCAGGAGGAAGACGTTGACCATAAAAAAAACAATACGATACACGTAGAGTTGAGCTATTTGTTGGGACTTTGATGCCTCTAAACCCTACGCAAGCAAAACAGCAAAGTAGGTCTTGACGTTAATGTTTTATTTTATTATAATTACTTGAGTAAATGGGCCCGCCCCTGCTGATTTTGCATGAGATGTGGCCTCCTCTCACTGCGTTCATCCATCTGTTGATCATGAGATTTATGATACATCAGTACTGTGAGAGGGACACCTGCTACTGGGCTCTTGAGTCATATAAATCAATTATATTAGCTTTTTCTCTGGTTTTCAGACATGCATGTACGCTGTTTAATTGGCTGCTTTCAATTATAACAATTATAATGCAAGTATGCAATGCAACCGTGCAAGTAATTTTGTTTCTCTCTATATAATATGTAGGTGGGGGATCCACATGCATGGCCATGAGCCATAACTGTTTGCGTTCAGCAAACCGATTCTCTATATATCCTCTACGGCCATCCCAAACTTTTCCGTAGGTAATTAATTACTTGCAATAATTAGAAGATTTATATATTAATATACACGTTCCTAAATAAACCATGTTAGGAAAATACGTTGAAGTTCAAATGGTACCTTAACCGGCACCTCCAAGCTAGGACCAACATGCAACAGTTCTAGAACGGTTGATGACGTAAAAAAAATTTATATGACACAAGTATCTTGTTATCGTAATGTTTGATGTCAATCATATAAAAATGTATAAATTTTAATTCAAATGATATTGTATTATTGACAAGAGACTTGTTGAAAACTAGCTAGCAATTTTGTTTATTTGTATTGGAGGATATTTTGTTTGTTTGTTTTGTATGGACTAGGGTTTTCTAGTGGATTAAGTATTATGATTATTTTCTTATTTCTTACTAGGGTTAGATTTTCCAGTTATATTCAGAATTAGATCTTTATAAATACACCTTGTAACAGGATTACTGAAAAATTAAGTCTGACAAGATGTAGTTTTTTTTAGTTATTTAACCTTCTTGAATTTTTTTTAATCTTCTTCTTTACTTTTATGTCTATGAAATGGAATGAGAGGTTGACTTCCTAATCAGTTTGTTCTTCTTTTTCATTCATTTGATTTTTTTTAATAGGGTTTCAAAGCAACTTTAATCCCTTTCGGATATGTATATTCTCAATGTATGAGGATACAAGTATTATCCACTTCATCAAGCTTGGCCAATCCAAAGTTAGATATTTTTGAGTTATGATTTCATCAAGCAAAACATAAGTATCCTTGATGCCTCTTGTTGAAAAATATTAGTATTTAGGTTTATTTTAGTACTTGGGTTTTTGCTTGTTAGTTTAGGACTTAGGCTTAGCACATCCGAGTTAGGGTTTCTTAGGTTTAGTTCTCTATAAATATTGCTTGTAATTTAGTTTAAAAAATAAGTCATTCACAATATTGCCTCTTGGAGTTTATGTAGTCGTCTCCGCGATTTTGTAGTGTTTGATATCAATAATATTTCTAGTATTGTAATCTGTTTGTTCGTTCATTGTGGTATGCGCACTCTGATATTCAACTTGAATGACCTTCAAACTTGATTACTCTTGGAGGTAAGCCAATTGGGACTATGAATTTTCCTGGGCAAGCGTAAGGCGAATCGAAATGAGAGTGCTTCAGAAGTTCAGTTATGGACTCAACGACTCTGATAGGGCTAAGCCACCTAAATAGACCAACAGTGGCACCACACACCCTGTTGGGTTGCGAAATGGTAGGCGATGTCCGCAGACCTCTTTGGTCAACCATGTTGCTTCGCAAGACATGAAATCCTGATCCGAGTAAGTATCAGATTGATTTTCTATATTCTTGGAGATTCCTACAATCTAGGGATTAACGTGCATCGCAAGTAATTACAATCCAAAAAGGAAGCAAAAAAAAAAACCGTATGTTAAATATCATCTTGGATTCTCCTACTTTAATATGGATTCTACATCCTAAATGACTCTTTCCCAACTAGTATAAATATGCTACCTAGACTCGGCAATAGTGACATTTTTATATGCATACTTTGCTCTCTTAACCACTTCTTGAGTTTTAAGAGTTATACTTATTTGACTATCGAAGAGGCTTTGGCTGGTATTACACTAGTACCCTAAGTAATTCACAGTTGCTTGTTTTTGCTTGTAGGTGGTCATTCTAGAACAACTTATCCATCCTCGTGGTACACAAATTTGTTCCAGCAATTCGTGCTTTCATTGAAAGCCAAATTCATGTTCTCACCGTAACCGAGTGCTCACCATGTCCACCAACTTACCAAGAACTCAGCAACTCCACAAAACCACTCTGGATGGCCAGGCACCTCCTACGATGGACCAGATTTGGGAAACTATTTTGAGAAAGATCAGTGCGACTTTTGATGATCTCCAGAAGAGCTTGAAGGCTTCTCAAGCAAGGAACCGTTTGAACTATTTTGATTTCAAGAGGCGAATAAAGGCCTTGGATAACACTCATGGAACTACATCGCAAACTCAAGTCCTAGTCTCCAAGTTCAAACTTCTAAGTACTTCAA